TCTTAAAAAGTTGAAAAGATTTTAACACCAAAAGTCATAGCTGCATAGTCCTGAGATAGCCAAGCACATCCATAAAGACTCATCGTCCAAGCTGAAACTCTCAAAATGTCCGTCAGATTTGCAGGTTTTTCCACAAATTCTTGATCATAACTTCAGTTAGAAAGCATAAGTGTCTTTTTTAGGAGTTTCAGGGGAAACAGAGGGAGTTTTTACCCTATAATGCCCAATGTGTCATATTTGATCCGGTTTCTGAAGTCTTTTGGATCTGAGACTTTTTGCATCATTCAGTGGTAAAAGCTTTGCTCAAACCCCTGTTGTACACATTCAGATATACCTGATAACAGCCAGGTATATGTTCATATGTTATTGAGGGGCCAAAGAAAGACTTCAGACTAAAAAAATCCAATATTCTTCTTATTTTTCAGATATTACTATATAAGTATATTAATATATTTTCACATATACCTAATAGCAGCCATTAGAAGACTACACGGAACTACATTTTTTACTCATTGCACGCTTATTTGATCAAAATACTTTCTGTTTTTTTTCTTCATATGTTGTTGAGGGGCCAAAGAAAGACTTCAGACTAAAAAAATCCAACATTCTTCCTATTTTTCTTGGATCGGGTTTTAAAGGGTTAAGTCTGTTCAGTCAGAGGCCTCAGCTGTGTTTGTTTTCATTTTATAAGTCACAGTAAGTTGTAGCTATTGAGATAAGTCATGAGTCATGAATGTTATAGAAAATTAAGTGGATACATTTTCATGTTTAGGGGCGAGTTTAAGATGAAGAAAAAGGCTTTTAAGGTTAAATCTGTTCAGTCATATGTTGTTGAGGGGCCAAAGAAAGACTGCAGACTAAAAAAATCCAATATTCTTCCTATTTTTCTTGGATCGGGCTTTAAAGGGTTAAGAGGTTTACCTGGACGTCAGGACGGTGGTTGAGGAGGTCCAAAAAAGGCGCCAGAGCATAGTTGTCCGTTCCGGACAGGAAGTTGGACGGGGGACGGGTTATAAAGACGGACCGCGTGTTCACGCTGCACCAAGCCCACCTGGAGGAAAACAAAACATTCCTGATCACCGATTATCCCCTAATGGGGTCGGAGGGGGCGGAGCCTATCCCAGTAGCCAATGGGGAGAGGCGGGGTCACCCTGGACGGTCCCCAGTCCATCACAGGGACACACAGAGACACACAAGGACCAACAACCACACACCGCCAGATTCTGCTAAAAATGTGTCTGTTAGGATGAGTTTAGAAACGCTGATTTGTTCAATGTCTTTACCTCCGATACCCTCAATTATTTACTTTTGTTTTTTGAACAAATAGTAAATAAAAGCATGCTAAATAATAGTGTATTCAGAGGGGCCTCTGAGGCTTTCCAGGCTTGTGCTAAATGCTAATGCTAATTTGCATGCGGCAGGAAGCCACACAGAGACACACAAGGACCAACAACCACACACACTCACACTAAGGGCAGTTTGGAGTCCAACAACCTAACATGCAGGTTTTTGGAGGGTGGGAGGAAGCCGGAGAACCCGGAGAGAACCCACAGACACAGGAGAACATGCAGAACCACCCAGAAAGGTCCTGGTTCCCCCGGGACCCCAACCCAGAACCCTCTGGTCCCGGTTCCCCCGGGGACTCCAACCCAGAACCCTCTGGTCCTGGTTCCCCCAGGACTAGAACCCAGAACTGTTGTGTTCAGGTACCTCAGGGCTTCGTAGGTCAGGACGTCCTCAGCTGGCTGGTCCAGAACTGGCTG